GCCCTGAGTTCAATTCTCAGCACCGCACAGAAATAAATGAATAAAATAAAGGTCTATCAACATCATTAAAAAAATTTTTTTTTTTTAAAAAGTCATGGAGCTGGGCACAAGCCTGTAATCCCAGACACTCAGGAGGCTGAAGCAGGAGGATCTTGGGTTCAAACCAGCCTCAGGAACTTAGAGAGGCTCTAAGCAACTCAGTGAGACCTTGTCTCAAAGTCAAAAGTAAAAAGGGCGGGGATGTGGCTCAATGGCCTAGTGTCCCTGGGTTCAATCCCCAGCACCAAAAAAAAAAAAAAAGAGAGTCAGTGGATATCATGCACCAGGTCAGACTGCTTTGCCATCCAGGGCTGGGGTTGTCCACCTTCCTTACACACGTGTCCCTCTGTGCTGTCAGGGATTGGTTCCAAGACACCCCTCCCCACTCAGCTACCCAAATCGGGGGATGCTCAAGTCCCTGTATAAAATAGCATGGTATTTGCATCCTCTGTATACTTTAAATCCTCTCTGCAGGAGTTCTGTTTTCTAATACAACGTAAATGCTGTGTTCCTGGTTGTTATACCATATTATATGGGGAATAGTGACAAGAAAAAATAGCCCCTACCATATTCATTATAGATGAAATTACTTTTCTGAATTTTTTAGGTGGGGTGACATATGGGGATTGAACTGAGGGGTGCTTTACCCATGAGCCACATCCACAGCCCTTTTATTTTTATTTTTAGACAGAGTCTTGCTCAGTTGCTGAGGCTGGTCTGGAACTTGCCATCCTCCTGCCTCAGCCTCCCCAGCTGCTGGGATCCCAGGTGTGCACCACCACCAGCTATTTTTCTTAATAGTTTAGGTGTGTGGCTGGTGGGATCTGCAGATGTGGAACCTGCAGGGGTCGGGAGGGGCAGCTGAACGTGGCTGCTGCTCACGCATCTGTCTCTGATGGGCTGCTGGCCTCCGGGGTGGGCGGTGCCTTATCCCAGTTATTGGGTGGTGCCGGGCACAGAGCCAGACGCTTCACACTCACGTCCACAGTTTCAGCCAGTTCACATCAGCCCACACAGTGGGGAGACTTCTGCCACTTGCCTGGTGGCAGAGAAAGTGGAGGCTGGGCCACTTGCCCCAGCCTCCTGCTCCTGCAGAGCCCCTCGAATGTCCAGTGGACCCTGTGGGATGCAGATGCCCCTGGCCGTAGCAGAGGGAGGAGCCTTTGCTCACCTCAGCTGTGGCGGCTGCCAATGAGCTTCAGCAGGGGACCCGCCCAGAGGGAAGAGCAGCAAAAGGCTCTGCTCAGGGGAAGGGGACTAGTTCAGGGCGAGGCTGGACAGGACGCCTCTCTGTCACAAGCAGAGGGATGAAGAAGGGAACGAGGCCTCTCCTGGGCTCTGCCTCGCCTGCTGCCTTCCTCGTCCTACTCCCCTCCGGCTGTTCTGCCCTCACCCCGATGGCCCCTGAGCCTCCACCCTGTGGCAGTGGCTGGCCAGCTGTCCATACCCTGGGCACTTTCTGGCCAGGGCAGTGAAGGGCACAAAGGATGACCTGCAAGACGTTCCCCTGTGATTCCGCTCGTGCAAAAGTTCAGAATAGCGAACTCTGTAGACAGAAGGTAGATTAGTAGCTGCTTAGGGAGACACAAGGCAGCCCAGGCTGCGTGTATCTGTCTGTGTGAAGCCCACTGACCTGGACACCTGTAATGGGTGGGCCCTGACGTATGCAAAACGTGTCTTTTTAAAGCTATCTAAAGAAAGCGACTTTTGCTGGTCGTGGTGGCACATGCCTGTAATCCCAGCAGCTCTGGAGGCTGAGGCAAGAGGATCAATTGTTCAAAGCCAGCCTCAACAAAAGCAAGGTGCTAAGCAACTCCATGAGGCCCTGTCTCCAAATAAAATACAAAATAGGGCTGGGGATGTGGCTCTGTGGTCAAGTGCCCCCAAGTTCAATCCCCAGTATCCCCCTCAAAAAAAAAAGAGAGAGAGACTTTCTTTCATACTCCTACTATGAAACCTACTATAGATAAACCATGCAAAGGAAAAAAAGCAATCCATTAAGGGCCATTTGTTAAATGAGGTAGGGCAGAGTCCTGTGGTCTGCCCAGGGGCTGGGGGCTGGGGCTGAGCCCAATCTGGGCTTTGGTCTATGGGCAGCTGTGGACAGAGGTTCAGACCGTGGACTCCAGGATCCTGCATCCGTGTGCAAGAGAGAGAGAGAGAGAGCGAGAGAGAGATGGAGCGATAGGGATGGTGCATTCCCCAGGAAGCTGGGACATTGCCTTCATCAGGCTGGGAAGCAGACCCAAGGCAGGTCTGGCTCCATCCCCAAGTTCCTTCTGTGTGGCTGCTGGAAGCTCAGAGCCAGAGCTGGCGACCAGCATGTGTGAGACCTTGGTGAGCACGTGGAGCAGGGCCCCCGCTCTGATCTCCAGTCATTTGTCCTGCCCTTGACTGGCGACCACCATTCCTACCTCAGGCCACACAAGGAAGAATCTGGTTGTAAGAGGTGAATTGAAATGACTCTGCAGACCAGGAGCTGAGTGCCCTTTCTGACTGTGCCGTTTCCAGGTGCCACCTGGGTGCCAAGTGACCTTGAACGTATTTTTTCGGTTGATTCAGCCACAATTACAATATTGCCACCATAAACATAAAAACAAGCCACGATCCAATTCATCTTTGCCTGCCGGTGCTTCAGGGGAAGCCCAGGCACCCAGCTACATGCTGCGCCCTTCTTACGTGAATCAGGAAACCCCCAGAGAGCAACAGTGTTCCTCAACACCAAGTCCACTGGCCACCATGAGCATCTTGGTCCCAAGGGTCCCACAGGCCCATAAAGGAGTGCTCGCCCACCATGGGTGACCCAAGGTGCTCCTTCGGGGGTTATAGTTCATGAGGCACTTGAGTCTAGCTGTGACCACTCACCAGAACACCGAGGCGCATTAACCCAGGAGGAATAGCCAGTGGTCCTCCTAGGGCCCCCAGGAGTCAGCAGCTACATGCAAGGGGGACTTCCTTCCCACCATCCCCTGGTCGGGGAAAGGGCCATGCCACCACCAACCAGGTACACTTCTGCTCAAGCTGAGGCCCCAAGGAGATGTGCAGGACCCCCCCCCCCAGAGCATATGGACAAGGAACCTTAGATCCAGCTCCTCAGATGGGCACAAGGTGACCAGACCTAGAGGGGGTCCCAGGCTGATGCCTCTCTCTGCCCACTAGCTGGACATACCTGACCAACTCTCCTTCCTCCCTCTCCTCCTCATCCACATCCTGCACAGCCATTGACCTGCTCATGTCCCTGGGTCAGAGCCTTTGTGGAAGAGGCTGAGTCATCTGGTGGATCTTCAACACAACAATAAGAAATCTGCACACACCCTCTCCCAGGTGGTTGGAGGATTCTCACTTCTTTGTGGGGAGTTCCCCGGATTGAACCCAGAGGCACTCGACCCCTGAGCCCCATCCCAGCCCTGTTTGTATTTTTATTTAGAGACAGGTCTCACTGAGTTGCTTAGCACCTCGCCACTGCTGAGGATGGCTCTGAATTCATCATGATCCTCCTGCCTCAGCCTCCCGAGCCACTGGGATTACTAGCATGTGCCACCATGCCCGGTGGACTTTCATTTTTTAGGGTGTTCAGTGTGTGCCACTGGCCCTGCTGCGTGTCATCAGGGAGGGGGATGCCCACATCTGGTTCATTCAGAACAACTTCGTGTTGATGAACCCAGATACTTTATTACACTGATTTTTCTACCCAATGTGACTGTCCCTGATGATACCCAGCCAAGAGGCTCGGAGGACACTGTGGAGACGGTGGTACCTCTTACCCAAGCAGGTGGGCAGCAGGTCCACGAGATGGGGTCAAGGCACCATGTGGGTTGTCACTGCAGGGGATGGAGGACTGGGAACTCAGCCCGGGTGCTCAGACGGTGCCACACTCCGCAGGTCCTTGGAGACCTCCGCCTCCAGAGCCACCTCCTCCCATGGCCTAGTCCAGGCCTCACCTGGAGGGAGTCAGGCGGATCAGGGTGGGCTGATGGCCACTGGGGTAAAGAGGATCAAGGAGAGGTAGAGACAGCCCCAGCTCTGGGTCACAGAGGGAGTTAGGGCCCTGCTCTGTCCCCTTGCTCCCTTCTGAAAACAGCTCACTGACCCTGGGGACATCAGCTGGGGTGCCCCCTGGCTAACCCCAGGGTGTGCAGCCTTCATACCTGTCCTTGGCCATCCAAGGAGACAGGACTGACCTGGACCCTCTCCATTCCAACCCCAGCTCCAACAGAGCACTTCCTGAACTTGGAGGTGAAAGGGGTCAAATCTTAAAACAAAACAAAACAACAACAACAAAACCCAGTAACATAGTGCAGCTGATTTGCTTTGCCAAGATCAGAAGAATCGACTGATTGTAAGTATTTCATAAAAGAAAGGACATTTTCATAGCGATGTAAGTGAGGATAGACTCTCAGGACAGCCTTCTCGTGACAGTGCTGAAGGATGTTAAGTTCTTTTTTGAAATGACAAATTATGTCCATGTCCTCTCTACCTCTCCTTGATCCTCTTTACCTCAGTGGCCATCAGCCCAGCCTCATCCACCTGACTGCCTCCCAGGTGAGGCCTAGGCTAGGACATGGTGGGGGTGGCTCCAAATTATGTCCATCAGTTTCCCCCTCTGGGAAATGGGTCCTCATCCACCAGTGTTGTTGTGAGAGTTAACTGAGCTAATATTTGTCAGGTACGTCTGACGATACCGGGCATGTTAGTGTGATATAAGGCTTACTAATAAAAAAATTAAACTTGTATTTAAAAAAAATAAAGGAAAGCCATATTGAGGGTGATTGAAAAGACTGAGGTTGGAGACCTAGTCCAGGACTTTGGGGGATGAAAGGGTCATTTTTTGGCGAGGAATATGCCCACCAAGTTGTCTTGGCCTCCTTCCTGTGTTTCTGCACCCCCAGGACGCCCCTGCGGCTGTGCCCTGGGAGCTGTGTACCCCTCTGGTCTGACCCCACCCCTGCCCCTCTCTGCAGATCTTCGGGGGCCTGGTGTGGATCCTGGTCGCGTCCTCCCTGGTGCCCATACCCCTGGTCCAGGGCTGGGTGATGTTTGTGTCTGTGTTCTGCTTTGTGGCCACCACTGCCTTGCTTGTCCTGTACATCATTGGCGCCCACGGCGGGGACACGTCCTGGGTCACCCTGGTGAGTGCCAGCCGAGGGCTTTGGTGGGAATCGGGAGAGTTGGGCCTTTGCCCTGGGAAACTGGCCTCTCAGACATGGTGGGGCTGCCCTGGAAACGTCTCCTGGCACATTCCAAGGCCGAGCTGGCCCAGCCTCAGCCAGCAGTCAGGGCTCCCACAGCTAGGAGGCTCGAGGTGGAAGCAGAGGTCGATGTGTGTGCCACCGATCCTCTTGGGCTGCTCAGCTTCCTCTCCCGTGACCACTGTTCACCCATAACCACGGCCCCACCCCTCCCCATCCACCTGCACCTCTGATACCAGGAGGGCTGCCTTCACCTTGGGGAGCAGGGTCCCTGAGGCTGGCCCCTGCCATTGCTCCCCAGTGGCCAGGCCACGTGTGCTGCAGGGCTCCCCTGCCACTGGCTTCTACGCAGGGCTGACGGAAAGGACCTGGGAACACAAATGGCATGTGGCCTTTCTTCTGTGTAAGGTCCACCGTGAGGCCCTGGAGACCAGCAGCACCCTCATACGGGACACATGCCCACTAGAGAGGGCCCGGCGCCCACTCTCAAGAGGCCTCCTGCTTGGACTCTTGAAATCTCTGCTAAATTACAACTAAAAACAGCAGCGTTTCAACTCTTTTGCTTTGAAATATGCCAGGAACGGGACAAAAAAAAAAAAAAAAAAAAAACCAACCAAATAAATAAACCCAACAAAATGGAAAAAAACAGAACAATGGAAATGGCCTTGTCCTCTCACTGGTCAAGGAGGCCGTGTTTGAGCCAGGTCTGTGACCACTAAGCACATCTCAGGCCCTGAGCCAGCTTCCACCTATTAGACTCCAAGCTGTCCCCACCTCCTGCTGGATCTCCCCTCCAGGGCAAGCAGGGACCCTTCATCTCAGTGCTTTCTGGGTCCCCAAGCCGAGGGACTTCAGCTCCCGTGGGCTGCACTGGTCACACCACCTCTGTGAGGAGACAGGCTGGGGACTGGCGGGTGGGAGTCAGAGGAAGCAGCCGCGGATTGCAAGGGACCTGAGCCCCGCCAGTTGGGGACGAGTGGGGGGAGGCGCTGCGTCCCGGACTCTTTCCCTCCCATCCCTCTGATGCCTGCCCCTTCTGACTCCCAGGACGCAGCCTACCAGTGCGTCGCTGCCCTGTTCTACCTCAGTGCCTCCGTCCTGGAAGCCCTGGCCACCATCTCCATGCAGGACGGCTTCATCTACAAGCACTACCATGAGAACATCGCGGCCGTGGTGAGTCCCGCCTGCCAGCAGGCGCATGCGCACAAGCAGCTCTGGCTGTGCTGCCGCCGAGGTGCAGCGGAGACTGCCCCCACGGAGCTCCGAAAGTGCCCTGAGAAGGGAGTGCTAAGCCCAAGGCACCTCAGTGGCCAGGCCTGGGGTGCAGGCGTCTGAGCGCCCCCAGTGTCTGATCGTGCACCATCTTATTTAATCCTCTCAAAACCCTGTGACCTGGATACTGATGCAGGGCAGAGCGAACCTATGTACTCCGTGGCCAGGTGCTGTGCACCCATGACCTTGGCACCAGTTTGGACACTTGGGCCTCCTGACCCTCGCCCTCCCGAGGGTTGTCCACTGAAGCAGACAGTCAGGGACAGGGACACTAAGGTCAGGAACAGATTTTCTTTTAATGGGATGGGTGGGAAGGGCAGGGAGAAAGGATGTTTCACAGAAGCTTTTTCCAGGGCTGCCCGGGGGTGCGCCTGGGCCCATGAACTCGCTCCTGGCTGAGGTGGATTTCTATCCAT